TAATAATAATTATTATTATTAGAAACCCAGGCTGGACAAACCAGGAATAATAAGCTGAGGACAGAGCAAGACGGGAAGGATGATGGAAGATTTAAATTTGATTTGCTAGCTTGTTGAATTTGTTAGCTTGGTTTGTAAAGAATTGCATTGCTTTTTATATCTGTATTTGGATAGCCAGTTTTACAATTGTGTTGTACTGATTTTATATCAGTATTACTTCTTTCCATTTTTTTTTAAAAGAGTGGCAGGGCTAGCAGTCTTTTTTATTGTTTTACTCAGCAAATGTCCATGTACATTGATGTCTCTATATAAATACAATTATGCTCTTCAAAGCCTGGCTTTTGAATCTCTGTTTGTTCAGCCATGTTTGTGGTGGCACAGTATTAGGGGTTTTATAGATGAGGTGCTAAGTTATGGTTGCCACCTTTTTTCTTTTTTCTTTTTAAAAAAATGAGGCTTATCTATATGGCAGGGAGGACAGGAGCAACATGGGTTTGTCTGCACTGCAGAAATACAGTAGTTTGCCACCACTTTAACTTCTATAGCTCACTGCTATGACATTCTGTGATCTGTAGTTTTGTGTGATATTTATTCTTCTCTGTCAGAGAGCTCTGGGGTCACAGCAAAGTATAATTCCCAGAATTCCATAGCACTGAGTCATGGCAGTTCAAGTGGTGTCCAACAGCATTATTTCTGCAGCCCTGGTCTCCTTTATGCGGGACATTTAGCTCTATCTACTGAACTTGCAGGTGCATGAGAATTTAGTTTGGTTCATATTTGATAAGAACTTACCCAAATCTGCAGAAACTGAGCAAAAAGGAGGGTAAAACAGAAAAAGGGAAAAAAAGGACTGAACCTGAATGTGCAAGAAAATAGAGCTGACAAGATCCATCCTACTCGCAATCAGCCATTTTTGTTGATTTTAAAAACAAAAAGCACCGGCCACTAAAACTATGCATGTTGCCCACATAAAGAGACTAATTTCAGAGCTACTCACACTCCATTTATATGGGTCCCAAGCAGCAAACCATCCAGTGAAGTTCAGAGGCTCGTGACCTTGCTTCACCATGATGATCGGCGTGTCCGGATCTCTTCCGGCCGGATGGGTCTTCAGATACTCTCTGGCTGAAGAAATGGCCTCGCTCTTTTCATAGCTGTTGGAAGTCTTGCCAACCCAAAGGAAAATCTGCAAAAGGGGAGTGGGAGATTAGGAGGTCAGACAAAGAGCTGAAAACTTTTCGACTCCGGCTGGGGCATTGTATATTGTGTTGTGTGGCTCCAAGTCATTTCTCTCTTATGGTGACCCTAAGGCAAATCTGTCATGGAGTTTTCTTGGCAAGATTTGTTCCCCTGAGGCTAAGAGAGTGTGACTTGCCCAAGGTCACCCAGTGGGTTTCATGGGCAAGCCAGGATTCGAACTCTGGTCTTCAGAGTTGTAGACTAACAACCAAACCACTACTACATGCCGGCTTCTACTGGGGCATTACGATGGAGTAACTCAGGACTACACCAGCAGATATACTTCTTGCACATCTGTGCAAGGAGGCATTCAACAACTTTTGACATAAGCAATTTCCCAGTCACCTGCAGTGTAACAGACTGGCTTAAAGGCTTGTTCAGTGTTTGGGCACAAAGCTGTTCCCCTTCCCACAATCTGGAACTGCCCCTGGAACAGTGTCTGAATGTCGTCATTGCACAAACATCCTGGCAGAGCATAAAGCAAGCAGAATATCTGTGTACATGTGTGCATTAGGAAGAGTTTAGCCCACAACATAACAGTCACTAGATGGAGCTAGCATTTCTTGTTTCATTTAGGGGGGTTGCAGACTGCCAGAAATAGTGCAAATTGAGTCCACTTTTAGGGTTAGGGTTAGGGTTAGGGAATCATGGGAATTGTTTTTTTCCTGAGACATTGAGTCTTCTCTGTCAGAGAGCTCTGGTGCCACAATAAAATACAGTTCCCATGATTCCCAAACCCTAACCCTAAAAGTATACTCAATTTGCACTATTTCTGGCAGTCTGCAACCCCCCTTAGGCTGTATACGTTAAATGCAAATATTTATGCACCGCTACTATTAAAAAAAAAAAATAATCAGCCGCAGAAATAAAGAATCTGGACTGAAAAAAAGATCAGGTACTGGGAGGGAATGCTTTCACCTTCTCTCAGCTACTTGTTCCTCTAGGCTTTTGGTTTTTTCTTTTAAAAATATGATTCTTCTTGAAGGCATTGGTGATATTACCCCAGACCCTATCAAGCAGCTCACTGTTGAGTTTATCAAACGGGACGAATCCCATGCAGAAATTAATAATAATAATAATAATAATAATAATAATAATAATAATAATTTATTTATTTATATCCTGCCTCTCTGTATACCACAACCGGGGTGGCTTACACAATAAAACATACAGTCCCCTCTCCCAACAGCCCCCCCCAAATACAATTAAACAATTATAATTTGAAACATACTTAAAAACAGATAAATAATAAACAACAAATAAATTAAAATAACTGTAACAAAAATCAGGGTCAGGCATAGACATGACGTTTGGGGTTAACTAGAAAGTAGATAAAACCTGCAATTGCGGGTTGTTTTTCAGACGATGTTCACGTAAAAGAGAAATAACGCAAAAATAACCCAAACAGAAAGCTGACAAAACCCGCTCCTTTTTACTTTTGGGAACTTCCGAAAGTAAAAAGAAGCGGATTTTGGCAACTTTCTGTTTGGGTTAATGTCATATTATTTCTCCTTTACACAAATACATCTGAAAAACAACCCACTTTTGTAGGGTTTCCCCCCAGATTTTTAAATCCCATTTCTTCATGGGATTTAACTAATTTGCCTCCGTGTCATAAACTCCTTAGATGGGTCTCAAAAGAAAGGCAATGAGATTTTTGGTTTAGACTGCAGAGTCTCAGACAGTCTATTTGAGCCTGGCATCCTGGGACAATTGTCAAGGCTTCAATTGACTGATTTAAAGCATTTATCTGTCGGTGCTCAACCCACCATAGCCCTCGGACAATGTATAACAGATTAAAATATTTAAAACATTTTAATGCCTAAATAAAAACATTCTAAAATGAACCAAAAGAGATGACACTTGTCCAAAGTACACTGCAAACCATCTTGGGTTTGACCTTAGGATCTGATGCTCTGATGATTCCTAGGCATCTCTCTCTGGAAAATGGCATAGTCCCAGAGATGACTGCTAAACTGGGGGGGATTTGGGGCAGCTAAAATGCCAGCACCTCCTAGAGACAGGCAAGGGAAGCCCCCAGAGAAGATCTTAATATAGGAGCAGGCTTGTTGGGAGGCATGTTAAGGTCTGGAAGCCTGAGGAAGAGATGCGGAAGAGGTGAGATGATAGCCATGTTTAAATATTTGAATGGATGTCATATTGAAGATGGAGCAAATTTGTTTTCTGCTGCTCCAGAGAATAGGACATGGAGCAATGGATGCAAACTACAGGAAAAGAAATTCCACCTCAACATTAGGAAGAACTTCCTGATGTTAAGAGCTGTTCGACAGTAGGATACTCTGCCTTGGAGGGTGGTGGTGGGTTTCCCTCTTTGGAAGTTTTTAAACAGCGCTGGATGGTCATCTGTTGGAAGTCTAACAGAAATGCTTTGATTGTATCTTCCTGCATGGTGGGGGATGGCCCTTGGGGTCTCTTCCAATTCTATGACTCTATCTATCTGAATATCCTTTCATACCCTGAGTATAGTTCTAATAATTCATGTGATGTGATAGAGGGATGGGATAGTGAAAAGAGGAGTTTGTTCCACAAAATAGCCCAACACATCTCGGCTGAGCAATATTTGTATGACCTCCTTAATGAGAAAGCTCTTTGAAATCTGCGAGGATTTTAAAAAAGACCTGTCTCCAAATCTTGCAAATGGCAACTGATAGTACCCAGAGTAGTCAATAAAGCATTGTAATCTCACAGATTTTATATATATATATATATATATATATATACACACACACACACACACACACACACACACTCTGTATATGCTTTGAATACTCTGATAGCATTCAGAATAGGATGTAAAGCACTGTAATCTTATGTCGTTTTTGAAAGTATGGACAGATTTTTATTTTTATTTTTAAAAATGTATACTCTGCTTTCAGAATACTCTGGTGCATGATGTCCTTTGCAATGGGCAGCTCTTTGACCACTGACCACTGACCACTGACCTCTTCCCAGGTGTCCAGTAGCATGACATCATCCTCATCTAAGTCGTCCTGGCAAAAATCCACTATCTCCGTCATAATGAACCGTCCTGTTTGATTGGAGCACTCAAACAAACGGGGCTGGTAGTGGGTCACCCGTTCTTGGAACCTTGGCAAGGCAACATTGATAAGGAGTGAGGCGTGAGAGATGGAGAAGTTTCCTTCCAATAACAAAAATCTATGATGATTCTATAAGGGACAGACTTCTGAATAGCGAGGGAAAGCAAGGCAAGGAAGTAAACTGCTTGGATTGGCTGTGATCATTGACAATCTCCTTATTAGTTGCTGTGCCTTCAAGTGATTTCTGACTAATGGCAACCCTAAGGAGGGATTTCTGGGGTTGAGAGTGTGTGACTTGCCCAAAGTCACCCTGTGAGTTTCCATGGCAGAGCAGGAAATTGAACTTTGGTCTACAGGGTTGTAGTCCAATGCTCAAACCACTACACCATGCTGGTTCTCAATCTCCTTGCAATTGATTTTTAATGACTTGCACTTTTGAGTTGGCCTTGCAGGACTTGGAGGACATGCTTCCTAGTCAAGCTCAGGATGGAGGGCATTTTGGAATTCCTCCTGGACAGAAGGTTGGAATGTAGGATGGGTCCTGGGAAAGAGGAGAGGGGAAAGTGGCAGATTTCCCCCAAAACTAGTGAGGGATGGGATACTAGTGAGGGGTGGGATTCTTGCCACGGCACCCATGACTCCCTCTTGTGTTTTCTTGAATGTGTTGCCGGTGGCATCACCAATGAAGCATAGATGATTCACACGCATTTTGAAGGGGCACAAACTAGTGGGAATGACAATCGTGCCAAAAAAGAAGCAAATAAAGAAAAGACCCACTTCCATAGTGAGAACGATGCATGGACTGGAATCGATTCACCAACCCAGAGCAAAAACGAATCACAAACTGGGTTAAACGTAAGTGGGAATGAGCCCTCAGAGAGCTAAAACTAATTTTGCTCCCCAGCCAGGTCAACAGTGCTATGATGTACATTTGCAGATAATCTGTCTGTGTTTTCAGACATATTATCTCTGTGTAGTATATGGAGATTATCGCAGCGCTAATAAAACCGGTTTTATTTGATTTTGAGCTGGCTTAAAAATTAAAATGGGCAGTGTCCTGATCTTATCACAAGGATTTAGCCACCAAAATCACCGCCCAGGTCCATCCCTGCTCCCAGGGCTACTCCTGCGGCCAGTTCCTTAAGCCGGAAAACTCCCGGTTTCGAAAAGAGGCGGTGATTTTGGTGGCTAAATCCTTGTGATAAGATCAGGATACTACCTGTTTTAAATTTCAAGCCGGCTCAAGTAAACTGTTTTTATTAGCATTGCGATAATCTCCTATAGAAGGGATAAGTGAAAAATGTACTGCTTTTATTGGTTTCACAAATTTATATGAGCTTAGCAATTCACCCAGCCCTGGACCCAAATGGAGTCCAAAACACAATTTGCAGTTGGAAATCCTCACATTTAGCAAGCCTCCAATGAGATTCAACAGGCCTAATAAATAAACACTTTTATTCAGATAGGCTTTAAAACCAGAAAGTTTTTTTTTAAAAAAAAAAACAGGCTAGGGAGTTCTGTATTGTTTTAACTGAAGTCCTAAGAGCTTTTTTAATCTTTTAAATTGCATTTTATCATTTTACTGAACGTGAATTGTTTTAATACAGTACTGTAAATAGTTTAATTCTATTTTTTTGTACGTTTTTAACTGTATTTTTCTTTTAAATTATGGGCTACTTTGGGTCCCAATTTTGGGGAGAAAGTGGGATATAAAGAACAACAACAATGCTTAGAAAAATCATGTGCACATACAAGGGAAAAAAACAGCAAAAAGGGGATTAAAACCTAGCCAATGCAAAAGGAAGAAAAAAGTTAGGTATTATGAAATATAAAATATAACTTGTCTATGAAAATAATATTAAAAATATTTATATATATGTATATCTTGTTAAAAACTCTCAGATCACCCAGATAATATTGAAGTTGTACTGTCCAAATAATATACCACAAAAAGAAGAAGAACCCAACTCCTGTGGTCTCCAGAAATACAATAATCAGTCTCAAATATCACAAAAATCCTTTAGAAGACAACTACCTGTGATGAGAAACTTGACGGGGAATAAAATCCTTTGGTGCCCTATGGCTTACATCCACCATTATTTCCAGCCAAACGTGTTTTGACCAACGTGTTTGGTCTTTATCATGGCTATATTACATGTGTAGATTCCCT